CATTTCAATTAGACAGTCTTGCGTTACTTAAATTAAGCGAGCGGTAGAGATCTCGTCTGACCCGCGTTCGAATCCCTCGCCGCCAGTGGATGGTCAGCCCGGCCATATCCTTGCACGCAGGGGATAACTTAGAAGCAAATTGAAACAGACAGCATGTCACAAGAATATCCAAGTGGAATAAAACTAAATTATAATTGCTAATCATAATTATAACCCCCCTCTCCCCAGGGCTCCCTCAAGCTGTACAGGTGGCCCCTCCCGAAGGACATTGAGGACACGACCATCACGGGAGGCGACCCACAGTATGGCTTCTTCCAGGTAGGGTCCATTTGAGGTGTTTTGTTTATTTGTTTATTGGGTTCGATTCAGTTGATTGGATTGAATAAAAATAGATGAGTTGAAGAAAGTTTCGAGTGAAGTGAGGTATCTTTCATTTTTATTGTTTTTATAGGAAACGATGTTCAGGATTATTTTTAGCATGCAGATTGTAACTTTTGACTGCTACTGATGTAAGATTTGTAAAAGGTTTTAAACGGGGCGATGTAGCCTTTAGTTGACTCCGATTATTTGTATTGTATATATATATTTTCCGTGTGATTTAAGAATGGAATGTATCTTTTCTCTCACACTCATAACAAAATTCTTGTCTCGTTCATTCCTTAATTCTATCTACACCATTTCAGAATTCATATAAAAGTGTTTGTCGTTCAGGGTAACATAAAACAAATAATGTAAATGTGAATTCAAAACTGGTTCTTTCTTTAAAATAAGGCCTTTCTCTTTCTATTTTACCACATTTAAAAGCCAACCAATACCACTCAATTTTCATCTCATTTCCAACCTTGTATTGTCTAAATCCGTTTCAGATTTCCAACACGGGAACCACCACCAAAAACCTCCGTTTCAGTCTCACTCCAAATTTCACGGTCATCTCAAAATCAATATCAAAATCAACATGCAAAACGACGTCACCATCAAACATATTGCTATTTTTTAACTTTATTTTCTACCGCTATCGTTTCGAACCACTCAGTGACGTCACACATCCATTTCAAAATCAAAAAAACAATATTATCCATTTATTTCCTCGGACGACCCAATCACACCACCATTTCTAAATCAAAATAATATAGAATAATAATATTAATAGTAATAATAATAATAATAATAATAATAATAATAATGATAACAATAACAATAACAATAATGATAGTGATAATAACCTCCCCCCTTCCCCCAGGGCCTTCCCTCCAACGACCCCATCCACGTGCTGGTGCGAGTGTACGTGGTCCGTGCGTGTGACCTTCATCCCATGGACCTGAATGGGAAAGCTGACCCTTACATCCTGATCTACCTCGGGGGCAAGAAAGTGTCGGACAAAGAAAACTACATTTCGAAGCAGTTGAATCCCGTCTTTGGCAAGTGAGTCTCGTGGTGGTGGGGGGGGGGGGGGGGTAGTATTCTTTTGTGTGTGGATGGGTTGATAGATAATGGGGAAGTAGATAGGTTGGTAGGTTGGTAGGTAGGTAGGTAGGTAGGTATATAGATAAGACAGATAGAGAGAGAGAGAGAGACAGACTGATAGATAAATAGATAAGACAGGCAGACAGACTGATAGATAGATAAGACAGACTGATAGATAGATAGATAGATAAGACAGACAGACAAACTGATTGACAGATAGATAAGACAGATAGACTGATAGATAGATAGATAGATAAGACAGGCAGACAAACTGATAGATAGATAGATAGATAGATAGATAGATAGATAGATAGATAAGACAGACAGATTGATAGATAGATAGATAAGACAGACAGACAGACTGATGGATAGATAGATAGATAGAAAAGGCAGGCAGACAGACTGATAGATAGATAAGACCGACAGACAGACTGATAAATAGATAGATAAGACAGACAGACTGATAAATAGATAAGACAGACAGACAAACTGATAGATAGATAGATAAGACAGGCAGACAGACTTAGATATACTCAGTTATATACACAGATACAGGTATAAATGAAGATGGATATAGATATATAGAAATATATATAAAAAAATTACTACATATAGACATATACATTCCAACTTTCTATATTCACTTTCATATAATAATCATCACTCATCTTAAGAACTCGTACACATGAAGGCTAAATATATTGTCTGAAATATTGCATATCAAATCTTCAGAATACGCTATATACATGTTTCTAAGCAAGTCACAAACGTGTATATAAACCTGCATTATGGTCACAGGTGTCAGTGTCTCGATACATGAACACAAACACAAACGCAGTAATGTATACACAAATATAATTTCATATCTTATTATAGTTGTTTCCTCTTTCTCTCGAAACATGCGACCATACAAACGAATGCTGTCGAATATGTATGCTATACACACACACACACACACACACACGCACGCGCACACACACACACACACACACACACACACACACACACACACACACACACACACACACACACACACACACACACACACACATATATACATACACACGCACACACACACGCGCTCACATACACGCACACATACACGCGCACACACACACACACACAAACGAGCACACACACACACACACACATACACACACACACACACACACACACACACACACACACACACACACACACACACACACACACACACACACACACACACACACACATACACACACACATACACACACACACACACACACGCACACACACACACGCACGCACGCACGCACACGCACACACACGCACACACACACACACATGGTCGCTCTGATACGGCACAGAAAAAAAAAAAAATTGGGGGGTTTTGTTTTCAGTCAGGTTACAGTGGCGAGTTTCTTATTAGGTCTGGAAAACGGGACTGGGGTCGCCACTCGCGAAAATCTCTCATTTTCCCTCTTTCTCCGGGTTGAAAACGTGTTCCATTTGAAAAAAAATCAAGATACTTACTAGTTTAATAATCTTTGATTCTTCGGCTACAACGATGACCGTTCTTATAGTAATTTTTGCCATTTTTATCTTTTTCACTTCGGAAACAAAATGGCGCCGTGGCGTATAAAAGGCGATGAAATGTTTTTCTTCAGAATTTTTTGTTTACTTTTCCAATTTTATGTTTTTCTTAATAAGTAATAACAAAATTAGGAGGTTGATTTTTGTCTTCTATTTAACTTTATTTAATAGTTGTTCCTTATGAGTAGGTTATATAATTAGAAAGCAATAAAATTGATATATATTTTTATACAAATGCAAAATTTCGGCAAACACAAATGCAGTGGCGCATGCGCGGTCGGGCCTGAGTTAACCTCGTTACTCAAAGGTTACGCTTGTCGCGCACCCCTCTCGCTTGGCATTCTTGCTCTGGCACTCGCACAGGAAACACGCGCTTCCCGTCTGTCCGCAGACGCCGTCGCACTTGCGCCACTGCTGATCACAGATTGCAAGCAAGAGATTTAGAGAGCTCGCTGACACAGCTTCGCCTCAAATGGATAAGCTAAGCCACGAGAAGCTGGTGCTCGGCCTCTAGCGAGCCAGCAAGGGCCTCATGAAGAAGCTCGGCTCGAGCTTCGAGGTCGCCATGATCCCTGCCGTCGCCGACGAGCTCCTTCGTCTGCAGGAGCGCCACGGCGTCGAGCTCAAGTCGGCCGACATCCCTGCTCTGAGGAAGGATTTCGGAGTGGAAAACGACCAGGACTCTCTGCTGGGCGTCGCCCTTCGCGTCCTCGAGATCTTTTAGACGCACGGCCGGAAGGAGTCCACCCCCTCCCGTGCCACGGAGGAGAACACTGCCAGCTGCAGCGAGAAGGCTAATCTTTCTGCGAAAAGGAAGGTTTGCGCCGCTCCTGCGCCCGTTTAGAAGGCGGAGTACAGCGAGGACGCCACGTACGGCTTCGTGGTGATCCAGGGCGACCACCACACCCTGGCACTCGGGACGCTGGCCTCGTTCGAGGTCAAGTTCGACAAGACGTTCGGCGTGGCCAACAAGCACGGGCGCGGCGGCCAGTCCCAGAACCGCTTCGCCAGGCTGGCGGAGGAGAGCCGCCTGAACCACCTGAAGGCGGTGTACGAGCGCATGGAGAGGGCCTTCCTCGCGGAGGACAAGACTCCCCTGGTGGAGAGGATCGTGGTGGCCGGTCCGGGCCCCATGAAGAGCCAGTTCGTGGAGCAGCTCCCGCGCGTGTTTAGCTCGCTGGTGTAGCCACAGCTGGTGACCACGACCACCGTGGGCGTGAGCGGACTCCAGCAGCTGCTTGGCCAGCTGAAGGAGCAGTGCTCGTCGTCCTCGAGGGCCGAGAAGCAGAGGCTGAGGCAGAGGGAGAGGAAGGAGGAGAGGAAGAGCCAGAAGGGCGCCCAGAGGGGGGGCGGGAGAGCCAAGCGTTCGGACGAGAGGAAGGAGCGAGAGGAGGAGGAGAGGAAGAGGCGGGAGATGGAGGAGGAGAAGGAGAGGAAGCAGAAGGAGATGGAAGAGAGGAACAATCGAGGCAAGGACAAGAAGAAGCTCGGAGGGAAGGGCAAGGCCAAGAACCATTAGTGAGCAAGGCCTTCTTTGTACACATCGAGTTCAAAAGAGAATAATAAATAAAACAAAACAAAAAAAGACAATAATAAAAGTTTAAAAAAGTAAAAAAAAAAAAGAAACCAAAAAAGTAAAAAAAAAAAAAGTAAAAAAAAGAAACCAAAAAAGTAAAAAAAAAAAAAAAGTAAAAAAAAAAGAAACCAAAAACGTAAAAAAGGTAAAAAAAAAATATATATATATACATCATATAACACACATTGCGTGTGTGTGTGTGTGTGTGTGTGCGTTTTAATGTATTTGTGTGTGTGTATTAATGTGTTTGCGTATCCGTGTGTGTTAGCAAGAATGTGTGTGTGTGGGTGTCAAAATATAGCATTTTTTGTGACATTGCGCATGCGGGTATGTGTCTGTGTGTTTGTTTGTATGTGTATCCATTCGTGTTTCCATGGATGTGCGTGCTTTTGTGTATATGTGTGTGTTTGAGTGTGTATGTGTGTGTGCGTTTATGTGTGTGTGTGCACGCGCGCGCGTGTGTATGTGTGTGTGTGAGAGAGAGAGAGAATGTGTGTGCGTGCGTGTATGTGTGTGTGTGTATGTGTGTGTGTGTGTGAGAGAGAGAGAATGTGTGTGCGTGCGTGTATGTGTGTGTGTGTATGTGAGTGTGTGTGTGTATGTGGGTGTGTGTGTGCGTGTGCGAGTGCGTATGTGTATGTGCGTGTGTGTGTATGTGTGTGAGTGTGTGCGTGTGTGTGTGTGTGTGTGTGTGTGTGTGTGTGTGTGTGTGTGTGTGTGTGTGAGTGTATGCGTGTGTGTGTGTTTGAGTGTATGTGTGAATGTATGTGTGTGAGTGTGTGTTTGTGTGTGTGTGTGTGTGTATGTGTGAGTGAGTGTATGTGTATGTATGTGAATGTGTGTGTGTGTATGTGTATGTGTGTGTGTAAGTGTGTCTGAATGTGTGTTTGTGTGTGTGAATGTGTATGCGTGTAAGTGTATGTGTGTGTGTGTTTGCGTGTGAGAGAGAGTGTATGTGTGTGTGAATGTGTGTGCATGTGTGTGTGAACATCGGTAAAGTATATTTAAGCGCTATAATCGTTTAATCGCTTCACAAAATCTTTAAGCGCGTGTGTCAAAGATATAAAATAACATTTCCTTTTATATATCAGGCTTACAGGGCTTTTCTGATATAACCGCGAGGGATTATTCGGTGCTGAACCAAAGGTAGGGAATCGAGCCGTTAAATGGCGCGTCGAAGAAGGGGTTTGATAGGTGATTGGTGACTTAGTACAAGTTTACCCATCAATGTGTAAAAACAATCAAACAAGTACTCGCATAGCAGGTACGTACACGTCATACCCGTCGATATTGGGTTAACCTAACTCCTCACAACTATTTCGATCACGATTTAAAAAAAAAAAAAACACGTTCCGAAACGGACATACAAACGCACTCTCACAGCCTCATAACCGACACTTCGAACACGACTAGAATCTTCCCCCCCCCCCCACCTTTCGAAACCTCGGAGCTCCCCCCCCCCCCCCGCGCACGCACTAACCCAGCTTCTTCCCCTCCCGAAGGTGCTTCGAGATCGAGGCCACCTTCCCTCAGGACTCGATGCTGACGGTGCAGGTCCTCGACTGGGACCTCGTGGGCTCCGACGACATGATCGGGGAGACGAAGATCGACCTCGAGAACCGGTTCTATTCCCGCCACCGAGCCACGTGCGGCCTCGCCTCCAGATACGAGACGTGGGTGACTCTTAACCGGTTTTCAGTTGATTGTTGATTAAGATATTGATGGTTATTTATTCTTGTTTGTGTATTTGTTTATGTTCTTGTTTATTCATTTACTCATTCATTCTTTTATTCATTCATTTACTTCTCTATTTATTTATGAGGAGGTTGTCAATTTTAATGTTTTGAATTGTTTGTTGTATTTGTTTTTTACCATTTTTTATTTACTGCAACGATTTTTTTTTTGTCATCGGCATTTTCCTAGTTCAGTATGTGCTATTTTCGTGATCAATGTCTTTGTCTCTGTTTTGATTTTAGCTGCCATTATCATTATTATTATACATATCATTATCGGATATCAGTATCACTATCATCATCACTATTGGTATTATGATCAATATGATTATCACAATTATAGTCATTATCGTTACTTCTTATCATCAAGTCACCATCATAATCACTATCACTACATCAGTAAGGCCACAATTACCGCACCATCATTATAATCATCACTAACTACCATCTCTTTATCCCTATTACCACCATCATTACCACAATTACCACACCATCATTCGAAACATTATCACCATTTTTACCATCATCACCATTACCACAATTACCACATCATCATTCGAAACATTATCACCATTTTTACCATCATCACCATTACCACAATTACCACACCATCATTCGAAACATTATCACCATTTTTACCATCATCACCATTACCACAATTACCACACCATCATTCGAAACATTATCACCATTTTTACCATCATCACCATTACCACAATTACCACACCATCATTCGAAACATTATCACCATTTTTACCATCATCACCATTACCACAATTACCACACCATCATTCGAAACATTATCACCATTTTTACCATCATCACCATTACCACAATTACCACACCATCATTCGAAACATTATCACCATTTTTACCATCATCACCATTACCACAATTACCACACCATCATTCGAAACATTATCACCATTTTTACCATCATCACCATTACCACAATTCCACCATCATTACCACAATTACCACACCATCATTCGAAACATTATCACCATTTTTACCATCATCACCATTACCACAATTACCACATCACCATTAGAATCCTCCCTATTACCACGATCATCATCGCTACCATAGTGGACGCACCATCATCATAGCCACAATCATCACCACCACCATCATTACGCCGATGACCACAGTGACCACACAGTCATCATAAGCACTATCAGCATTTTTCTGTCATCACCATCGTCATTTGCCACAATGACCACACCATCATCGTAATCACTGTCCCTCAATCACCATCACCACCACCATGATCATTGCCATAATTGCCACACCATCATCATAACCATCACTATTGTCACCACCACCAATACCACTACCACACCATCCTTACGATCACCACCCTCACTATCACCCTCCCCCTCTCTCTCTCTCATTTTGATCCCCCCCCCCTCTGACCCCCTTTGATCACCACCCTCACTATCGCCCCCCTCTCCCCCCTCAGGGCGGGCTACAACCAGTGGCGGGACCCGATGAAGCCGACGCAGATCCTGGGGCGCCTGTGCAAGGAAGGGCGTCTGGACGGGCCTCACTACGGGCCGGGGAAGGTCAGGATCGGCCCCAAGACCTTCACGCTGCAGGCCGACGACGAGCACGACCCGGGCAGGTTCCGGATGATAGGTAGGAGTGATGGGAACGGGGTTTGTGTTTGCCAGATTGTGAGCAAGTGTATTTGCATCTATTAATCACACACACACACACACACACACACACACACACACACACACACACACACACACACACACACACACACACACACACACACACACACACATACTCACATACACACATACACACATACACATACATACACACATACACATATATATATGTGTATATATATATATATATATATATATATATATATATATATATATATATATATATATATATATATATATATATATATATATATATATATATATATATATATATACATATACATATACATATACATATACATATATATATATATATATACATATACATATACATATATACATATATACATATATACATATATATATACATATACATATATACGCCTATAATTATAAAGGAGCGTCCCTCCACTACATGAAGATCACAAGTCCACTAACAAGGCACTCAGTGACACGAAATCCCAAAAGCACACGTCCTTCCCCCAGCGAGCGAGGAGCAGCTGGCACTCGCTGTCCTGCACCGGTGGGAGGAAGTGCCAAAGGTGGGGTGCCGCCTGGTGCCGGAGCACATCGAGACGAGGCCCTTGTACAACCCCGATAAGCCGGGCATTGAGCAGGTATTTACACGGATTTTTTTTTCGCTTTTTTCATATTAAGTTTATTTGTTGTCTATTTCTAATGTTTCTTTTTTTCTTATGTTAATTTTCTTGTTGATTTCTATTTTCATCGTAACAATTTTTTTATCATTTTTTCTTATCTGTTCTATTTTTACTTATTTATCTAGTTTTTTGTCTTATTTATTTAAATTTCTTTCTTATTGATAATTACTTTTTTTTTTTTGATGTTGAAATTATATGATTTTCTTATGTTATCAAATGCTGTTTTGTTGCTGATGATAATGCTGATGATAATAAGAATGGTCATAATAATAGTATTCATATTGATAGCAATATACCAAGAATATATGTACTTTAATGAAATAATGATTATGATAATAAACTGATAATGAAAAATGATGATAATAATAAAGAAATTTTAATGACAAATAATAATAAAAAATGTATGATAGTAATGATAATAGTGATAATAAAAATATCAACAATGAAAAATAATAATATGAGATAAAAGATATATATAAACAAGCATTAATAACCCCTTCCCCTCCCCCCTCTCACCCCTCTCACCCCCACCCCCCTCCCACCCCCCCAGGGCAAGATCGAGATGTGGGTGGACATGTTCCCGATGGACATGCCCCTGCCCGGCCCGCCCCTCGACGTCACGCCCAGGAAACCCAAGAGCTACGAACTCCGCGTCATCATCTGGAACACTGACGACGTCGTGCTCGAGGATGACGCCTTCTTCACCGGCGAGAAGATGTCGGATATTTACGTCAAGGGGTGAGTGGTGGGGGGAGGGGGGGAGGGGAGGGAAGGGGGAGGAGGAGGAGGGGGAGGGGAAAGGAGGAGGTGAGGTGGATGTGGGGGGGAGGGGGAGGGGGGAAGAGGGGGAGGGGAAGGGAAGGGAAGGGAAGGGAGGTGGAGGGGGGAAGGAGGGGAAGGGGAAGGGGGGAGGGGGAAATGAAAGGGGGGGAGGAGGGAGTACGAGAAGGGTAGGGAGGTGTAAGGGAAGTGTCCGTGTGTCTGTTTCTTGTATGTATGTGTATATATATATATATATGTATATATATATGTATATATAACATATATATATATATATATATATATATATATATATATATATATATATATATATATGTATATGTATATTCATATTTATTCATAAATATATATATTATATACATATATATATAAACGTATGTATATATATATTATGTATGTATGTATGTAAGTATAGCAGATGAATATACATTTGTATGAGATGCATATTTGTTGTATAGTTTTCGACGATCTGTTTTATGGTTTACTTACTAACTTTTCCCTTGTAGCAGGCACTCATAGCGAATAGTGGTAGAT